CAAATCAAGTCATTTAGGATAAGTGTTTTTAAGATGCACCAGTCAATCGGCCACTGTAAATATGCTCAAACATTCCAAAATATTTAAACCAGTTGGCCTGTCATGTCTCCCTGCAGTTGCAACTTTCTAATTTTTTTCATCCTACATTTTGATTACAAATATCATATTTCATTATTTTGTTTTAAACATTTAACTCTTCAGCCATTCAGTTCCCACTTCAAATGCACTAAAAAATTGGGACAAAGAAGACCATTGCAACTAGGAAAAACAAGCAACCATATGTGATAAATACAGTGAGGACTGCGTTTAGATTGAAGCAATAAGATATTTACAAAGGGTAGGGGAAAATCTGAAGTAGGACAGCATAAAAAAGCAGACCTTCGGGCAAAAAGCTTTGGACAGCAAAGAAATGCAGAGACAAACTCTCTTAGCTTGTTGTACAGTCATGTAGTTGAAAGGAAATGTGATGAAGATTGTGAGACGCAAATAATTTGTTATATTATTATATTTATATTGTTTTTTGTTGAACTAATGAAGGAAGGCATTTGCCAAATCGTTTTAATTTGTATTTTTTCAAATTAAATAATTAAAGGATTACATATATTGTTTTGTTGACACAAATTGTTCGTGTCTCATTTATCTACTTAAAAGCTTTATCGCAGTCCAACCCTTTTATAGTTGCCCTTAAAAAAGAAAATTGACTTGATGCGGGTCCATCAGTGTCACTCGGTCTCTCTAATCAAACAGATCTCAAATAATAATCAAATGAAACCAGGGATTTTGTTATGTACATATTGTACCCTTCATTCTTTGTCTTTTGCTATTCAAGATTAAAAAAAAAAATAAGTTTCCTTATTGTACATGTGTCGGTAGCAAAGTTTAGACTTTGTTAAAAATAAAGTTTCAATTCTCTGTAAGTGTTATACACTGTAATTGTAACCCATTAATTACACTTTTTACATCCTGGTGTGCAACAATATACTGTAACCCATTTTAATGACTATGCTTACACCCCTTGTGAGTTAAAAGGGAAAAATAACCACAGTTTTAGAGCTTTATCATATCTCATAGTTATGTTTGTTGTTGTGTTGTAGCACTGTTGTAACTGTAGCCATGTGATGGAGTCTCAACTTTTCATGCCTCTGAACCAGAAGCAAATGGAGACACAGGGAGAGAAGATCAGTCTGTAAAAATGTTTCTATGCAACATTGATGTGATGTCTTGTTTGATTGAGGACAGTTTGTAAGCTACAATCTTCAAGAGGAAATTAATGGTAAATTATGGGTTACTCCCAGAGGGTAGAGATATTGGGCAAATTTCAGGGTCCTCCACTTTTAGAGGAGGCTAGTAATGAATGACTTACACTTACAGACCAAGTAACTTTCAAGAATTTTTTTCTTTACTGTACCGGTACGGTACTGGTATGTTTGTGTTTAAAATGTGTCTTAATAGATTTTTTTTTAGCATCCGCAAGGATTCTTTTGGATCAGATGGAGTTAACTCTGGCTTTGTATTTGTTTTCACCCCTCGAGAAAAACAATCAATCTAAGAACTAATAATTAGGATGAGGAATACAACATGTTTTTTTTTTTTGTTTCATAAAACAAGGACTTCTTTTCATCCGTCAAAAGTTTAGAAACCCTTAGAGACATTTAGTTTGCCAAATTTATGTGTTCAAATTGAGAATCAATATTCACTTGTCCAGTCCAGTTAGTTTCCCACTAACTGCCACCACTTCTTAAACATAAAGAGATGGTCATAAAAAGTTTTTTGTTGTATTGATATTTATGAAATGTTGCTGTTTTCTATATTTAGCTTTAATAAGGTCATAACATTTGAACAGTTTAGAGTACCGGGTAGCTAAAGAGTTTCAAAAAAATATTTTTTAATTATCTCTAAGCACAGAATTTGAATGTTGATTATTGTTGCTTTATCTAACTTCATAGCAGCAGGCAAGAAAATTAATTGTTCTGGTGCATCTTGACTTGTGCCTTGTCTAAAATGTCTTAATTTAATGTTTAACTATTAATGAACTGAATTACTTCTATGTACCGTACCGTACTCAAATATTCTCTGCTTACTTATCCCAATGTAGAGCATGTGTCATCACATGTAATAAATCTGTTTTTTTTTTGTTTTTTTGCAGATGTATTCAAACTATTGTATTTTGATATTTTATTTGAAAGCTGTGTTCATGAGAAATTACCATTGGCTGGTAGTTGGCAGCAATCTTTCCATGAAATGTAAATACATTTTTTCTTCCTCTTCTTGTGAGAACTTAGGTCAGGTGTATCCGACCATTGTGTTCCAACACACTGGGGTGTGCTGAATAGGTGGATTGGTGTGCTGCATAGGTTGATTGGTGGGGTGCAAGATTTTTATAAAAATAATAAAAATGGAAGTAAAAATATCTTTAACAAAATGTTAAATTAATACTATAACCATTCCTCACAGAAAAATCCTTTTCATTTGTAAATGTGAAAGGTGTGTTCTATGATTTCCTATGATAATAACTTCTACTTTTTTTTTATCATAATATGCTTATCGTACATTGGTTAATCATTGTGAAAGAAAGCTCCCACTTTGTTTATTGATAATCCCATTATTATTATTTTATTTATTTGGGGCACAAGTTCCTCTCATTTCTTAAAGATTGCTACTTATTTTAATACTGTGAATAATGTTGGGAATTACTATTTCACATTATGATGTCATTATATAAACAAATTAGTGAAATGCTTATGAATAGTTAAACATGTTTTAATAATGAAAAGTTGATGATGTCATAGACAGTATTTTTTTATTTTAAAATGTAAAACAAGGGGCGTAACTCTATGTGAAATGTTTAAATTATCCCCCTTTTTGGGTGCTACATTATTGTATTATGCTGTTGCATCAGCATTGTATGATATTTTATCCACATCCAATTATGACATAGATGTTAAGGCCACTCAGTGGTTCTAATGACATGCTGGCTGGCAATTTAAGAGGCCTTAGGCAAAAATATATAAATGACTTGAGCGGGAAATGGATTGTTCCCTTAAGAAACAACTCCATTTCTAGTTACAGATTGGAAAATAAGGGCTGTGTGGTTGGGTCGGCTGCAAGAACTGGAAATGTGCATCCTGTCCTGTATTTTTAGTTTCCTATGTCGTGTCTATGGTGATATTTTTTTTGTGTATGAAGATCATTTTTTTCCTTTGATTTATGTGTTGTCCTTTTGTAAGGACCAAACATGCATGTTTCTCTAATGGGTGCTGACTGCTAGCAACCTACATAATGAACACAATGATGATAACATTACATTTTTTTTTTGTTTCTTAAATTGTATGAAATTCAAAATTTTATTTTAATGGGACCATTTCTGGACATTAATATTATATTTTTTTCCCTTCTAAACATCTGGCCTTTATGTATTTTCCAAAATATCTCAATTTGCGAGTAATAAACTAAATACATAAGAAACCAGTAATTTTGAAGAAAGTAATTAACACATTTAAAAGCCTATTGGAAGGGAATCACATACCGGGTATATTATCTCATATAATTAAAAAAAAAAACAACAAAGTTTTATGATTTCAGAATAGCTAAGTTATTCAAAAATAATTTATGGTAGTGGGATGAATTACAATAATTATAATTTCATTTCATTTGAAATTTCAAAATGAATGTGTAACAACATTGTGGCTTTTCTGGGTATGATGACACAATCTGTTTACCTGTATCTTCCACTATAGTGTCATCAATGCAAAATAAATCTAAAATTAATTTCAGTTTTTTTTTTTATATTAAGCCCTTTTTTAAAATTGAAACAACGTAATAAATAAATTGAAGATGAGTCCATAAATTCTTTATTGGTGTTCTAAATATTTTAATGTAGAAATTTTTTTTCTCCCAAATATGCCTTCATTTCATGAGTTATTGCAATTGCAACCCCCCCCCCCCACCCCGCCTCCCCCCACTCACTATGTTGAATGCAACACTTCCTCACAGCAAACATTATTGTATTATCAGTTGCCAAACCGATTCCAGAAATATTATGTTTAAAGCGTGTTTCATTGTTTGAAGTGTGTAAAGCTTGTATACTTTGCAAATAATGTCATACATCTGATTTTTTTTTTTTTAATTTGACAGTAAAATGCACATCTTAATTTAATTTGAAAATGTAATAAAAATTTGCCTATCTAAAAGGAATTTGCCGGTCTAGAAGGCATTTGTCTATCATCAATTTAAATAAATATTAAATTAGGACAGTTTTATATAACTTCATTTTCTTACCTTTTGAGAGCAACAATACACACAGATATTGCTGACTCTAAACATTTCATCCTGGTGGGATTTTTGTTTAGCAGTAAGTCTGGTTAAGTCAAGGTAAATATTGTAGGTAATTATTGCACTATTTCCAAGAGGGCAACACAGTAATTTGTTTTTAAAAAAATTCAAATTTACTTTTTCTTTAAAAATTTTATAAAAATGACTCAATTTTTTAATGTTTCTCTTCTCAACTTAATTTTATTGTATATATTTATCTAAATTTTGAAGTATTATTTATTATGTTTCATAGAACCCAGTCTTGAAATTCTTACTTACTTGTAATCATAATTTCTGTTGTAATTCTTCTATAATAATAAATTACATGTTTATGATAAAATGTCAAACAACTGTAAATGTTTCTGAAGAAATCCGAGCTTTTGACATGGCCCAGATAATTCCTAAGCTTCAATGATCAGTACCAAGCCCCTCGCTCCCTGAGGCTCTCAGGTGTCTAATGATGGTTGTGTTCCTTTCTTTTGATTAACCGTCTATAATCGTACTGCTTACTACCCTACATTCCAGATGTCTCAAGATACTGGCGTCATATTTAAACCACTTGTTTTAATTATTATATTACCTGAGTTGTCAAGAAATAAAGTTTTTAAAAAAAACCTTTCAGTGAAAGTTAATAGTTTTATTTTTTTTATGTTTTGTTGAGAAAATAAAACCAGTTTTACAACAGTCACATCTACAAAAACCAATCCTGCATCCTGATTCTAAAAGAAAACTAATAGAACTACAAACATGGAATATATTTAAATAATGACAATGTTTTATTGAAAATAGTTTCAAATTTACATTAAAAACACACAAATTATTATTTTTTTTTTGCACATCTTAAAAGATGCCTTTCATTAAAGAAAGTTGATGGTTTATTAAAAACTGTAATTTTCTACTACGCCCAAGCCTCAAAAATGTAATAATTTTGTAAAAGAAAAAAAAAGTAGTATGCAAATTTGAACTAACTGTATTGGAACCTAAATCACAGCTTGAAATGTTCTGGAATTATGAGAATGTTTTAAAACATGCTTACAATGTGTACTTCCGCCAGACTTATCCCCTCCCCAACCACCACTAATTCTTACACCCTCCTGAATCAGTTCCACACTCGCCTCCCTCATCAGTTCCACACTCGCCTCCCCCATCAGCTCCACACTTCCCTCCCCCACAACACAGTGGTGTGGTACCATCTCCATTGGATAAAATCTTTGACTGTTCTTCCAACTCTTCCTCCCACTGGAAACAAAATAACATGAAATATTGAAACAGTTTGAAGATAAAGGGCCAAAATATTTTTTAAAAGTAAAAAATAGACCAATAACTTATCTGTCAAGAAAAATGTATTTTGACGAAAATGTTAAAACAATTTATTTAAAGATGTAATAATAGACATTATAAATGATCCCAACGTAACAAAAATGATTTACTTCCAGCATACCTTCCTTCTTTCCTTGTGTAGTTTGCCTATACCCAGCCTGTTTTTTTAAATAAGAGATATGTTAAAATATATTAATGATAATGCCTAAAATAATATCATACAGTTTGGATGAGAAGCCAGTGGACACAATGGCATTGACTTTCAGGCCACCATTACTCAATCGATATCAATTTGACAGATGCAAGGGGTTAATGTTCAAGCGTGAAGACTTTTGATTTATATCAGCGAACTGAGCCGGTGGTATGACCTCAGGTGCATTCCAAGTCTCAAATGCAACAATCACACTTCTGATATATCTAGCCTGAACCAATCCACTACACCAATTGTATTTCGAGAGAGATGAGAAATCACAACTAGATACACAAATATTATCCAAAATGTAAATTTATGTTTTTCCCATAGATGTAAGCCAGCAATTTGCTGCCAGTGTAAGCATTACATTTTTAAATTTAAAAACAAGGTTGCTGAAATGATTAACTCAATCAATAAAGTTAATTTATCATTGCTTCCAAGGGACTCTACTCAGTTCATAAAAATATGAAAAAGGAAATAAAATACACCCAATAGTATCTCCTTGAATTTATTTTGTGTCCTTTTTTTCCACTCCTCATTTTATTCTTCTTACACTCATTATCATTTCAATAAATTTATTACAACTAGTTCTTGACACCTAATTCCTGACACCTAATTCCTCTAGGTTTTGAACATTGCAGTTAGCGCTTTTAACCTGATTAATATTTCTCTATTTACCTGGGCCTCCCTTTGTTGAGACCTTCCAACATGACGCAAGCCTTGCACACATCATTGCTGGAGATGAAGTTGCATCTTGTGCACACGGCTGGTTGAAAGCACAGGAGATAATCACGATTATATAATCCCTCAAGTTATAACACCTATCAGTATAATCCTATCCTTCAGAATAAAAACATATTTCTAGCTTGCCAAAGATGAATTGAATAACAAGGGTATTAAGAGATAAGGGCAATAACAGGTATGTATCTTACATGCTTTCATTAACATTGAGTGCTTAAAACGCATGCTCCAGAGAACCAGTATCATTTCAAACTTCTATACGATTACCTTGTTTCTTATGTTTGAAATTTGTGAGTTTCTGTAACTCATTGTAAGTAACAATAAGGACTTTTAAGACATGGCTTTACATGAAGCAACAATTTCATCAATCTGGAGATTGTTATTAACAAGATCAAAGCAAATGCTTCTGTCACAATCTGGGGACAGCCTTTGAGGACACTTCTTAGAGGCTGATCTGTCACAACATTTCATTTGTAAACACGTAGTTCAATGGGGTCAAGGTAAACTTGACTTACTCTGCGTTGGCATTCGCACATCCTTCTTGACACTCAAACTTTCGCCACTGTGAATAATATCTGAATGAAACAGAGCATTAAATTAATTGGTACTGAAATATTTTTCCAACCCACAATTTTCACAAACTTTTAATTCATTGTAACAATACGTTGTTATGTATGTTACTGCCTCATTTCTGAAATACATGTATATATATATATATATATAGAGAGAGAGGGAGAGAAAGTTCAAAGTTCAATTTAATTATTGCTTTGAACAAATTCCTCCTAAATCAAAATAAGCTCACCAATTATTGAGCTTGGTCGAATTTTCTCCAAGTCCTTAATATAAGCCCTGGCAAATCCTCTGAAACAAAAGACAAAAATGTCTTTTTCTGATAACAAGACATGTAGCCCTGAATAAACATGGAATTGTTTAGTATATTTATATTGATTTTCTTACTGACTTATTTCCTGCCTTGGTCAGGGGTACTCAAACTACAGAACAAGGGCCAGATCCTGCCTGCCACCAGGATTTTAACTTTTTGAAAATGAAAGCCAACAAGAAAAAAAAAACATTAAAAAAGATGAGACATAAAGAAGTCGTTCTGCTTCAGAATTATCTCCAAGCATGAAATTAATTATTTTTTGAATTACTTATATGCATTCAGTACAATTATATCAGTCTATTTATTCCCTCTATTTGAGGGCACACTATCAATTTATTGAACATTCTCGCTTCTGGTCTGAATTCAGAGTTTGCCTTCTCCTCTATGAATTGCCATCCAAGGGTAACGAGTCCCATCCACCCCTGGATTGAACTCCAGACCACCAGCTGAATTGAGCCAGTTTAGACTGCATGGCCACCTGGCACTTAGTCTATTTATAAACACTGAGTAGAAATGAATCAGACCTACCTGTAAGCATTTGGGGAATAGATACATTCTGTTGAGAAGTAATCAAGTTTTTTAAAATAGGCATACCTGTGGGATAGGAAATACATTGTTTACCATTAGAGAGGAAATATGTATCAGCTTACAAGGAAAAATGTCACACATCGTAAGATACATAATTTCAATTCTTTGTAAGGATGATATCTAGCTGGTTAATAGGATGTTATAAATATTTGTTACATATTTAATACTTAAGTTCTAATTCCACTTTTGATTAAAATACAAACATAAAAAAATATACCACATTAATTTTTGTTTTCATAGAATTGTTTTTTTTTTTTTTTTTTTTTTTTTTTTTTTTTTTTTTTTTTTTTTTTTTTTTTTTTTTTTTTTTTTTTTCTTTTTTTTTTTTTTTTTTTTTTTTAAAAAAATATACCACATTAATTTTTGTTTTCATAGAATTGTTTTTTTTTTTTTTTTTTTTTTTTTTTTTTTTTTTTTTTTTTTTTTTTTTTTTTTTTTTTTTTTCTTTATATCCTTTTTTCTTTGTTTTTTTTTTTTTTTTTTTTTTTTTTTTTTTTTTTTTTTTTTTTTTTTTTTTTTTTTTTTTTTTTATTTTTTCTTTTTTTTTACAGGCCCTCAAAGCCATTCTGCAGTGTCTGTCATTAGGTAGGGAAATAACCAACTCACATGACAATTTCTTTCTCATAGGTGTACTTGAAAGGTTTACACCTGGGCAGGTATCCTTCTGTGCCCTGAAATAGCAGCAACACTAAGTGAACCTCTTACCTGTGGCTATCGCCACCCTGAATGTCATTCATTGTAAGAAAATATGAAGCTTAGGATGCGTGAACACTTGAACATGACACAACACAACTGTCACAGATATCAATTTTGTTTCGTAAAATAATGTTTTGTTTTGTAAAATAGATATAACAGGAAGTTAGGAATTATGGGATATATAGAGGAGGTAACGGTCAGCGTTGTTCTGCAGGGATTCATATATTTTGGCGCTGGCCATGTTCATTCCAGTTATGATCAATATCTTAATATTGATTTGTGAAGAGTACCGAAGAAGTTATAAATGTGATACCTATATTTATTGTGATCTTTAGAGATATTATTTCATGTGATGTGCCTTATTCAAGTAATAAATATATAGTGATGAAAAAGTTATAAGTCGTGTTTTTACTGTTGACTATTGAATTGATGGAGGACTGTGATTGAGGATAAGTAATACACATCAATTATTGCGAATAACGTCATCATAATCCACACACATATATATATGGTGTGTTACAACAACAATGAACGTGTAGACCAAGTCAATAAAAATTGACAAATAGAATATTTTTAGACGAAAATAAAATCATCTCAGCTCATAGCAGTACAAATAGGCTGGCACTGGCTCAGAGAAGTATATTTTACTTTAGCAAGTTTTCACATAATGTGCACTTCATTTCCTTATGTTATAACTTGATCGTGGCCTCCCTAATGTTTCTCATTTACTGTAAGGGTCATTACTCACAGCCATGTATGTCGGATTACACAGTGCAGTTCTATTACATAAACAAGTTTTAACTTAAGCTTACATTTGTGGCCCTTGATGGTGATGAGGAAAAATTGTGTCTTTTGTGTCTTGCACAGTTTTATTTCCACATGAACTTATCAGAAAAAGCACTGCTGCTAATAGTACACCTTGCTGGTAGTGCACCTTGCTTCTATGGAATTGTCTTCAAATCTTTTAGGACTTTTTTTAATTTACCTAATCCTTACATTTATTTTTGTTTTGGTTTTTGGTCTTTCATTCGGAAAAAGTTTTATGTGACTCTACGTAACCACGTGTAACACCTTCGGATGAATGGAAATTGTAATGCAAAAAATACACGTTTTAGGAAAAGTATAATTTCTCGCATCCTTATTTGCACTTCTCTGAGTATTGAGATGTGTCAATGTAATGCATGTTGAAAGTTAAGATGAATATACTAGTAGAGCACTTACAGTTGTGATGGCTGTACATCTCTGTAATCTGGCAATGTCTCCCCTCAAAACTGGCAAATATATAGAATTCAAAAAGATTTTAAAATTCCTGAATTTATTCGCATGAAAAACAGAACCAAATACTATTTTAATTTTAAAATCTAATGTTATGGTAGAACTTCTTAAACCCATGACCTTTTAATTTGAAAGAAAACTATACCATTCATTATAACAGTTTCTGCAATATCGTCAGCATTGTGTCCTGAAACATGGCAAGAAGCAACTCATTAGGACAGTTGAACGAATTAGTTTCACTTTTAAAATAATTTTTTTTTCAAATTTAACGATTTTAAATTCTTGTAGATGATATTAAAAATAGTAAAGATTTAATGAAAATATCTATTTCCATTGGTGAGCAGTTTCCTTCTATGGATGACATTTTTCAGAGAAACGACCATGAAAACGTCTGTTCCATTATTATTCTAGTTACAGCCCTTGAAATTGTAAGATAATTTTTTTACAGCATTGACTCGTGACTCGGAAAGTCAACATTTTAACTAAATATATTCCAATATAAATCAATTGAGATATCATTAAAACCGCCACAGTTAGAACCAGAGTGTTAACTTCCCTCTAGAGCAGCGGTTCTCAACCTGTGGGTCACGACCCCTTTGGGGGTTTACAGGACCCTTTCCCAGGGGTCGCCTTAGACCATCTGAAAACACATATGCTCTACAGTTATAACGTAGCAACGAGAGTAATTTTGTGGCTGGGCGTCGCCACGACATGAGAAACGGTATTAAAGGGTCGCGGCATTGGGAAGGTTGAGAACCACTGCTCTAGGATGAATGTGACAGAGAAGGGAAGAGAGCAGTTGGTTAAAGAGACTGAACCAAATTCCAGGCAAATAAATGAACAACGGACCGATTTCATTTTAATCAAATGCACAGTCCTTGTAAAATGTTCCCACCATTTCAAGCATCGCTTAAAGTCACCTGTAACTATTTTGTTTGCTCCTAGTTTCATGGCCCCTCTGTCCAGTGCTTGCCTCCTGAACACGCCACAGAAAGTGCCTGAAACCCAACAGTAAAACTTGCAAATAAAACTTTACAACAGGCATCGGAGTATGAACATTTTTATGTACTCAGAAAGCCTATGATACTATTCTTAGTCCCACTCAGAAAGCCTATGATACTATTCTTAGTCCCACTCAGAAAGCCTATGATACTATTCTTAGTCCCATTCAGAAAGCCTTTGATACTATTCTTAGTCCCACTCAGAAAGCCTATGATACTATTCTTAGTCCCACTCAGAAAGCCTATGATACTATTCGTAGTCCCACTCAGAAAGCCTATGATACTATTCTTAGCCCCACTCAGAAAGCCTATGATACTATTCGTAGTCCCACTCAGAAAGCCTATGATACTATTCTTAGTCCCACTCAGAAAGCCTATGATACTATTCTTAGTCCCACTCAGAAAGCCTATGATACTATTCTTAGTCCCACTCAGAAAGCCTATGATACTATTCGTAGTCCCACTCAGAAAGCCTATGATACTATTCTTAGTCCCACTCAGAAAGCCTATGATACTATTCGTAGTCCCACTCAGAAAGCCTATGACACTATTCGTAGTCCCACTCAGAAAGCCTATGATACTATTCGTAGTCCCACTCAGAAAGCCTATGATACTATTCATAGTCCCACTCAGAAAGCCTATGATACTATTCGTAGTCCCACTCAGAAAGCCTATGATACTTTTCTTAGTCCCACTCAGAAAGCCTATGATACTATTCTTAGTCCCAGAATGAATTCATTGAATGTGCCGGTAACTTACAGTTGTTCTTGAGACCGATCTGCTTTACGATGGCGTCCATTGTCCAGCCATACAGTTCCTGGAATTGCAGCGGAGACAGAAAAAAACATGAAGAAATGAGACCCAAAGTAACATTTGATAGACAGACAAGAGGACTGCCAAAACAAGGTGACACTATGCCATAATTTACATACCATGTATGACACTGTAGTCCAGGGTAGGTCCTATTTAGACACACATACTTCGTATGCCACTATATTAAGGGGATCGATTATATTTAGACAAACATACCTCGTATGACACTATAGTCAGGGGTAGGTCATATTGCTGTTGGTTTCTCTTCACAGTCTGAGGAAACAAATGACAAGTCAGTATCTAAGATGACCAACTACTGACAGCAGCAGGCAGTCATAGATTTCAGCCAGTCATAGATTTCATTACCAACTACTGATAGAAGCAGGCAGACATAGATTTCAGCCAGTCATAGATTTCATTACCAACTACTGACAGAAGCAGGCAGACATAGATTTCAGCCAGTCATAGATTGCATTACCAACTACTGACAGCAGCAGGCAGACATAGATTTCAGCCAGTCATAGATTTCATTACCTACTACTGACAGCAGCAGGCAGACATAGATTTCATCCAGTCATAGATTTCATCAAGTTTCCACATTGAACTATCAAATCATTATATTGAGTTTTTTTTCAAATTTTAAGAAAAATTACTTTGTTTTATGTGTTTTATGTAACAAAAACATGTTAAAAATACACAAAATTTAATCATAGCACCTTTAACACAAAAGTAAACAATAAACAAACCTTATACATAACTATGGAATTAACAAGTTAGCTAGAATTAGATATGTAAAGACACACCTATAATTAACATACTGACAAATGTACATACACTAGTATATTAAATATGAACATATGCATAGATATACATTTAAATACAAACATATATAGATCTAAATATGAAAAATATATACATATCCCCATCTAAATATGATTGTGTAATGCACAAACATACCTCTAAAGAGTCATCTCTGTAACCTGTGATGCCTTCATCAACAGACAACAAAATCAAGTTGAGACCGTACCCGTGTCTTTCATTTAAAATCTTCATAGTATGGGCCAGCACCGTGGAATCTGAGGACCGGAGCAGAGCACAAACTGTGACATTTCATAGTGAGACTTTGTTTGTACACAGAGAATGAGAGACAGGAGCAGAGCACAAACTGTGACATTTCATAGTGAGACTTTGTTTGTACACAGAGACTGAGAGAAAGGAGCAGAGCTCAAACTGTGACATTTCATAGTGAGACTTTGTTTGTACACAGAGACTGAGAGACAGGAGCAGAGCACAAACTGTTTCATAGTGAGACTTTTTGTTTATACACAGAGACTGAGAGAGCTACATAGTGATCTGGGAACATTTAAGATTTTCAATTTCAAATAGTTATTTTTTTGTTTTGTATTGTCTGCTGAAGAAGGCAGTTGTTATTTTTAAATATATTGTTTGGGGTACCTTTAAGTAAAGTAAAAATTATGAATTCCTGTCCTTTCGTTAGAGATTACGTGGTTTTGATACTTGTCCTTGATCATTTACTCTCAAAATCAGATGAAATGTCTACCCAATGTCAAAATTCAAACAAACTAAGGAATTTATGAGACAATGAAGTTTCCTTCTTAACACTTAAAAGCAAGTAATTTTCACACCAGTGATCGGACCCTTACATTTCACACTGACACGTTATGAAGTCTTACCTTTGCCCCCAGAGGCCCCAATGGCCACAGTCTCACCGGGAGAGAACAGTTTGGCAGATTCAATGGTGTGGTGGATTTCCTCCTCGAAAGCCCAGAAGAAACATTCTTTGCACAATGCATCGCCCTGGTGGATGGGGAGGTCAAAGGTTAAATGCATGCATGTCTATCAAATACCACTGTTAGTGTTAAGTGCGATGCTAAGAAAACCAAACTGACAGCTGTGATGGTACCTCGGAGATAGAAAGCCATTACAAAAAGAACAATGCAGTTTATACACACAGATGTTTCAGTTTCAGCGTTCAAGTTTTAAAATGGATAGCTTCCCCTCTACATATTTTACCTATCAATTAGTAATTTACCTCCCTTTGATAAGCATTACACGTTGTGTATGATACGTGAATAAGCCATCCTAAAAAAAAAAAAAAGAAGATTATTTCGGTTCAAAGGCGGCTTGAGAGATACACGATTAAAAAAAAACGTCCTTTTGAAGCAATTGCAGACGATACTGTGCACGAGCTGCAGATGGATAGAACGAGCAGAAGTCGGCCCCAGGACGGGATCTTACAATCAAATTCTCAGGGTACTCGCCATCCTTGGGTTACATAAATCCAAACCGACAAAAGAGACGATGGACCGGGGTTTGGCCTCTTCATTAAACCCATCAAATGCTTGATCTAGGAAGCTCCGATTTAATCAACTGACTTTTACCTCCCCCCCCCCCTTTCAAAAAAATAAAATAAAAATAAATAAACAACAACAATCCCCCCCCACCCCCCCCCTGTCCTTGCTTATTTAAAAGTCATAGTATTTCTATTATCTTTGTGGGCGTGGGGTTCACACAACCGTGACTATGACAGCAAGAGGTCGAAGCGGCCTGTACTACTTCATAAAAACATGGTCGGTATATTGCCCCCGACCCCCCCCCCGACCTTCAACTGACCTTTTTAACCATCCGTTTTAAATTCCGGGTGGGGAAAAAAAAATGTTCAGAGACAAGGCCAATAAGATGTGTGGCAATCACGCCCCCCTTTAGACATCTGTCACTGCCAACGCCGACCGTTGGACAATGCTGTTGCCAAATGTCCACCCCGCCCACTCGTAGGATCCCGGGACCCGCGGCAAGGGATCCGGTTCTATGCCAACGTCACACGTCATCCAACTCAGGTTCGCAAACAAAAAGAAATAAGAAATCAGTTGCCATCGGTTTTCAACCGGTGTGTCCCGCCCGACCAAACCGTGGGTGCGTCCCGCCCGACCAAACCGTGGGTGCGTCCCGCCCGAACAAACCGTGGGTGCGTCCCGCCCGACCAAACCGTGGGTGTGTCCCGCCCGACCAAACCGTGGGTGTGTCCCGCCCGACCAAACCGTGGGTGTGTCCCGCCCGACCAAACCGTGGGTGTGTCCCGCCCGACCAAACCGTGGGTGCGTCCCGCCCGACCAAACCGTGGGTGTGTCCCGCCCCACCAAACCGTGTGGCACCAAAGTCCACACATGTGGCGCAGAAAAAAGTGTGATGTCAAGTTATTGTTTACGGTACAACAACTGCATTCCTGCTGGATGCGTTTAGTTAGGGCATTTTAACCACCAAGTAAGATGTCAAGTGTCACTCTAGATGGAATATACTTTAGTTGAGCCTTAGTGATGCTTTAGGCCAGGGGGCGGCAGCCTTTTTGTATTATTAGCGTGCCAAAACTTAAAAGTTTACCATTCTAGAACATTTTTTAGTCATTTATAAATTTACTTTTTTTTTTTTGGGTGGTCTTCCGCGTGTCAATGCTAATCGCTTTACGTGCCAAACGGTTGGCACGCGTGCTGCAGTTTGCCGACCCCTGTTAAGGGCCTGTAAAAATAATCATTTGGGGCTCAACTTCTCACTAGAACAGACCATCTTTACTTTTTAACGTATATGTTTCAAACTTTGAAGAAAATACTAATCACTGTGCTGTTGGAAAATCACCGAGTCACTCAAGAGCTGGCATTTTCAAACGTCGGCCAGTCCGGGCCCGAGAGCCAGATTCATGTTCAAGACGTTGGTCCCGGCGGCAGTTAGCGGGTAGGTTGTGCTCGGAAAATGGGTTTAGTCATTGCTAAATTGTACACATTTTTAGTATCTATGATTAAAATGGCTAAATTGATCATTGCATTAATATAGTCAAAATTGAAACACATCATTACAATCAAAACACAAAGAGTATTAGTGTACCACTTCGATGGCACCTAAGGAAGAACAGTATACGTAACTTACTTTCTGAACATATAGTATAGTTAATTTAACATGTACATGCGCACTTATAACTCCTCTCTAACAACCTCTCTTTTATAGTCCTATGATTGGCTATGTTCATTTTGAATATAGATTTTTAAAATGATAAATAGCACTGGTAGTTTCAAATGAGTTCTTTACATTTAGACTGAGTAGAATAAAATAATTGGTCTGTAGGGTCACTTCGTCATAGTTTGGGAGTACTTTCCACCCCGGGTCGAGTGAAGGACCTGGTGGGTCGGTGCTACCATACCAGGGACCCCACTCTCCAATATGTCCGCGAGTCGTTTCGACCAAACTCAGCTTAACCAACCAAATAACCACCTCCTAAAAAAATATGTCCGACAAATGAACGTGTGATGTCTTTGACCATCGTTTCCCGCTCTCCCGCTCGGTGCTAAAAAAACTCTACTTGAAGAAATGTCTAGACTGGCTGTACTAGACTGTCTGCATAGAAACATTTGAAACACGATGACTGAGAGGCAGCCCATAACGTCTTTTAAAAGTCGCAGGTCAATCAACATGTCAGTGACTGTGGACGTCAGCTCACTAGACATTTTTTTTTTTTTAGGTATACAATTTCTCATTCACGGAACGTTCCTTTCAAACTGGCGTTGTGCCTGAGACTGTAAGACAAGAGCAACTTTGGACATATTACCAAAACGTGTTTGATCCCCCGTCATGTCACGTGAGAACATAATAACAGGACAATGAAATCACTCATTTACCTAGCATTACAACAACACAAATCCCGAGGTGACGCACGCCTTTCAAAAAAAAAAGGTGAAACGTAGGTTTAGGCAAGGTGTCCACATTATTGCATGCCCCCCTCCCCACCCTTAACCCCCCTCTCCTCCTCCGAACATGATCCGCCACCTTTCACACGGGCACATACGTTTTCAGCCCAGCCTCGTTGCGAGATTGATCGTCTCCGCCCATCGCTTCCCCGTGTCATCATTTACTGCCGAGCTTACGGCGCGGTAACTGCAGACATCTTAAACGTCAACTTCCGAGTAATCCCCCCTCGAGAGCCCCGGCGACAATGGCGCGAATTGTCAACAGATAATTATATGCCCAAGTGAAGCCGAGCCCCAGCAGTAAACATGACTGTCTCAATGTTTACCAACCGCCACGGCCGGACAGAGGAGAAAACAAGAGAGGCAGTCTTTACAGGCAGGCCAGGCAATAAGGGGGAGGCGAACGGGGCGACCGCCCCAAGACCCTGCACTTGTAGGAGCTCCCGCGAGTGACCCTTATAACATTGTATATTATAAATACAGCGAGACCGTGCCTGTTCTCAGCCATTTCCATGTTATGCAGAGGTGCAAGATTATCAAATGGTCAGTCTGTCCGTCAGTAGGATCTTGAAGGCCTCGGCTATGCAAATTAATGAAACCATTTCACATCTCCAAGGCCTTCTCCTTTTCTTCACCAAATATCACGGAGAGAGGAAGGGTTTGCATCAGCTATGACCATTGCAAAGCAAGCTGCATCAGACAAGAACATGACGCGGGTATTTCAAGAACGCTGCATTAGGCGAAGGGAATGTGCAGCTTGAACCAATGCTGTGTTGATCAGACCAGGCGTTTGGGTGTTGCACTAAAAAAACTTCGTATTTTACTTTGGTCTGCGTCCTTTGCCTGTGTTTGATTTCCGGGTCTTATCTAAAAACTAGAATCGGATCCGAAGACTCGGAGTCATGTAAAAAATCTCGTTGCCGACTCCAACGCGGCATCGCCGCACGAGAGACAATTTGCTCGGGACAGGGAGTGTCAGACAGTAGAAGCCATCCCGACACTCAAGACGTCCCACCACCGAGGGATCGTCCATTTCCTTGGCACTCGGCCCTCCCTCTTTGTACGGACAAGGGAAGCGAAATTGGCATTTCATTATTACCGATAGAGGAACGGGATGATTCTCAGGTGTAGCGTTTCCAAGAGGAACACCGTCTTGATGTGTACGGGCGCTGGTGGCAGAGCACCGGGTGCAATAAATTATCGTCACCGGTCCGGGTGCCGGCGTCTGCAATAACGGAAATTTCATCTGCGTCATTGACTGGGACCACAAACACCAAGGGACAATCGTCCATCCATCTTTTTTAACACCGCGCTCCTTAAACTATATAGTGTGGCTGACGTTTTGCATAGATTTAAGAATTTTTGTGTGGAATGGGGCCGCGGGCTAGATATGTTGACGTCAGTATAGATAGCGTCACAAAGTGTCACAGCACGAGCATGTACTCTATTGCGGCTTGCGACAGCTTGAATGTAGCACCATCTATGTGTAGCCCAACAGCTTCATTATGAGCAGTGACCAGTTAGAGGACGGGTGGGGGCGGACCAGATGCGTTGATTTCTTGCCATGTAAGACTGACCGGGTGACCAGGACATTCATGGCATAAGCAGTGAGTGTGACGACTTATGGTGTTTTTGGGCTTCGACTCGATGTGAAATGCCGTACTGGTGACATGGTCGTGACAACTGATTGATGTGGCGCAGAGTGCTATGTCTATGACAACGGATTGATGTGGTGCAGAGTGCTATGTCTATGGCAATAGATTGATGTGGCGCAGAGTGCTATGACTATGACAACGGAATGATGTGGCGCAGAGTACTATTGTGACTATGACAACGGATTAATGTGGCGAAGAGTACTATGGTTATGACAATGGAATATGTGGCGCGGTGCTTTAGCGATGACAATGTGTCATGTGGCGCAAAGTCCTACGTCTATGGCAATGGGTTATGTCGTGCTGAGTGATGTGGGTATGACAAAGTGTGGCCGTAACTATGTTGAATTTGATTGTTACAATGTGTTACATCTTGTGAAACCAGTCCCGTCGTGGACAATCTGAAGATGTGAAGACTATGTCTTGACATGGCTTACTAATGATGGGAATGAGAGTTCGGAGAAGGTCCACAATTGACATGTAAGCTCTCTAGACAGAATGAGAGTTCGGAGAAGGTCCTCAATTGACATGTAAGCTCTCTAGACAGAATGAGAGTTCGGAGAAGGTCCACAATTGACACGTAAGCTCTCTAGACAGAATGAGAGTTCGGAGAAGGTCCACAATTGACATGTAAGCTCTCTAGACAGAATGAGAGTTCGGAGAAGTTCCACAATTGACATGTAAGCTCTCTAGACAGAATGAGAGTTCGGAGAAGTTCCACAATTGACATGTAAGCTCTCTAGACAGAATGAAAGTTCGGAGAAGTTCCACAATTGACATGTAAGCTCTCTATAGACAGAATGATCTTTGAAGTTGTTCCATTTTTTTTTTAAATTAAAAAATTATGATGTAATAAGAAATATACACGTAGTAAAGAAATACATGAAGGGGGACAAAAAAATATATATTTCCTTTTCTTATAAGAGCTTTTAAAAAAAAAAATACAATAATTGGACAGATCTAGACCAAACTTGGCACTTTGAAAATCTATATTAAAAAACTGGAGGGTTTTGTACTCATAATATTCATCACTGTCGGGACCAGGGTGTCTCGCTTCTATTTCATGATCAACGCTACATCTCTGACATTTTCCAGACGATTTTTAGGGGACAACTTTAACTTGACTATTTTTCTGATTCATTATTTAGGGGTCATATCTTAATGATAATAAAAACGTCACCTTTTAGCCCTTATTTTAATTTTAATGGAAAACGCGTAAAGTGGGGTATTCTGTATTACTTTTGAACTAACAGTTACACAAATAGTCTTTTTAAAAAAGATTATTTGAAGGTTTAAAAAAAGTATATAGAATTTCCCAGCAAGTTCTACATTGTTCCACGTAGATATAAATACCGATATTATGTAAATTATTTTAAGTGGATCTCAAAGTTAAAGGAAATTTAAAAAAAAAAATATTTTTAACAAAAATTAAATAGATTTCTATACTTTCCTGGGGATTTCCTCAGCATCAATGAATATATCATTTTTTTTTTTAAATTTCTACCTTAGTCTAGACCAGCGGTTCTCAACCTGTGGGTCACGACCCCTTCCCTAAGACCATTGGAAAACACATATACTCTACCAATTTTATTTTCATAAACGCTCCATCTTTCGCGTATATCGAACGATTTAAAAAGGTCAATTTTCAAAATAAATTTTGTTTCTCATCCATCCTAAAATACTCACTACAGTATTAATACTAAAGGTTAAGTTGTTTGAGCGACAGAGGCACCAATAGTAAACATTTAAAAGGCGACATCTTAGTACATTCCTTCCGATTTTAATAGGAAACATTTGAAAAAATAGCTTGAATTTTATCTGAATGCTTTTTATAGTGCCTCTATCTAACTAAAATGGACACTTTTTGAATGGGCACCCATTTTATTTTAACTGATATTAATCGACCATAGCTTTGAATACCTTTTTTTAATAAGACATCTTTTAAAAGTCAGATTTGTCTTTTAATCACTGATTTCGGCTGCGCCCCGCATTGAATCTTGACAAGAGTTATTATAAATGTGGCTTTTTTTATTATTATTATTATAGGAGAACGAGTTTAATTGAATGTGTACTTTTGCGAAGTGTTTTTGACAGGGTCCTACATTTACGTGGAGGCTGTAAACGCTTTTGAAGGTTGTTTTTTTCTCCAAATAAAACCCCGAGCAAAGCCGGGTATAGTGGCTAGTAGTTCTATAAATACGCAAATAAACGGCGATTTAAGTACGAGCAACTCTCTGACGGATAGCATTGTTTTTATAGTTTTCTGGCATTTTGTTTCCAAAGTTGTTGTTTTTTTTTTAATGCTGTTTTTTTCTTTATTTTTTTAAATGGATTGAGCACTTTCAGAATACAAACGTCTCATCGAGACTGTATTCATTGTCTGATCAGTCCCCAACGTGAATTTCTCAATTAGACCATCTCCGCCGACGGCAATGTTTAGACAGAACAGACGGCCAGATCAAGTACACGCCGTTAGCCCGGGCGGGTGAGTGGAGTGAACAAGTCAATGTTCATCGTGAAACAGCCTTTGTAGCGGACAACGCTATCCCGTGTCCCCCGACAAACGGTCTTGGACATTAGCAATGTTGTGATAACGTGACCATCGCAATCGGCGTGCTGACCAATAACATGTGTCCACAAACACGGTATGTTGTTCCACTTTTGAGTATCCCCCCCCCCAACCCCACTTCATTCCGTGGGTGAACACTGGGCTGTAGTGCTTCGTCTTCGATTATTACGCAGGTATCGGATGACCGGTGGCAGTGGACCACAGAACCTCAGCGATGTCACACGGGCAACGAACTACCTTACACTCATACACAAACTCCGGATATTTTGATATTTCAATGCGAGACAATAACCTCCATGAGAGACATGAATGGTGCTGGGTGCAGGAAATCCGGTCTGACAAATAGAACACACGAATCTTACAGCTACACTAACCACGCCATAGCCAAACAAATAGAAAAGCCAGGTTAAATGTCAGAAGGTCTAAATCCGAGACAACACTCAAAAATATATGTTGCGGAGAAATGAAACATAATCTATTTTAAAAAACAAAAAATGCAGCCGGTTTAAATACAAAATAAAAGATGGATTTATTGGCGCCCTAAGGCCCACCCCCCCCCCCAAGAGCATGTCAATTTTAAAATCCATTTCAATGACATGTTGGCATTTATCTATCAAGTCTATCAAAATGTTTACTAGATATAAATACCAACTGACTGTTAAAAGCCATTCATACTTTGGTTGTTGGCATAAAAGCGTTAAGCCATTGACCTCCTATTACTTACACAAAAGATTCTGTAACAAATGCTCTTCAAGAGAGAGAAGCTGTGAGAATTTTTTTTTTTTTTTAGTATAAAAGCTAATTGTGTTTTATTTGGCAATGGACTGAAATTAACAGAGAGCTTTTCTGATTTACTTATTCAGTAGCATTAAATGGCACAAAGGTCTATGCAACAGTTTAAGGTGTAAGACTTTGAAGAAAATTCAGATAAAGTTTATTAATTAGTGACAAAATTGAAATAAATAGACTTCATAATCAGAACTTTGTATGATAAATTAAACCTCATCTTCAAGTTCAGCTGAAATGTCACATCGACCTATTAATGTGAAGGTTTGCAATTTTTTTTTATATACCTTCTTGTTCATAATTTGATAAATAATGTGCTGCAATCTTTAAGAATGGAAAAAAAAAAGAATTTTATGTTAGTGGTATGTGAACAAAATTACCATTTTGAACAATGAGCTGGTACTTTTATTTAACAGACTTAAAAATTTGAAACACTGGGATCCCTTGTAAGACCAATAAGAGAAACATAAGGCTGAGGAGCCTGACATCTGAAATGACCTAATTTAACTAAGTTGTAATAAATAGTCAAACAAAAACTCACTCAATACTTATTGTATTTCTTTCTGAATGGCTGTGAAAACAATGAATGTTTATTTGATATAATATCAAACACATTTAGAAATGTGGCAGAGAACAAGACATGAATCAAAAGTTTAGAGTATATAAATGCATAAAAATAATGATGCATCGGAAAACGACCTCTCTGGGCATTGTCTAGAAGTCTAGAATTGATGCTGGCACAAATGGCAATACAAAATCTCTGAGCATTGTCTAGAAGTCTAGAAGTAATGCTGGCACAAATGGCAATACCTTTGAGTGCACATTTGTCATTAAGAGAGATGTGCAGTTGACATGTTAAATGGTTGGTTTCGAAGTAGCGATTTCCATTGGATTGTTACGTTTGCATATAACGAACTGATGCCTTTAAACTCATGTTACTGTGTGGTTCTTAACTGCCTTAAGATGTAATATGTAGTGTTTTTTGTCAATGTTGATATTGATGTCATGTGATACAACAGCTGCGTTTTAATTTTTTTTTTAGTTTTGACTCTATTTTCTCATTAGTTTACCAAACTTAGCACAGACTCTTAAATATTCTGTGTATCCCGTTTGAACATAGCTTGAGGTAGTACAGTAGAACCCGATTATGTCGACGGCCTCAGGGTTTGGCAAAAAGTGTCCAGATAACCGATGATTGAGATAACCGAAAACCAATATGGCGCCAATATATTAAAATGTGCTTGAAATTTCTTTATGTACATAATGTGCGTTAATAAATGCAGGTACTTCAGTAAAAAAAATATTACATTTAATTAGAGGAAATTGCAAATTAAAAAAATGAAACCAGAATCAGCTTTTTATCTTTATACTCTTTGAACTACGAATTTTTAAAGTGCGAGTTCGTTTGGTATTTTCTACTATGGACGAAGTCTCTACATTTTGTGACCTCATTCTACTGAGCGTGTCTTGCACAATGACAGTATAGTTTATATAAGGCAACGCATCCCCTTATTAATAAAATACTATTTAAGAATCACTTATTTTGAACTTTCAACTTTGGCACATGACTATTTAATATTAAAGCTTTCCCTGAACAAAGGTTTAATAGCTTTTGCACACTGCAAACTCTTATGAATGAAACTCTGACATAGTACCATGGCATAGCCATTATGCAAGTGACCGTGAATGGCTGCCTGTGACAATGTTTTGCAGACAACAAATTATGATCATTTATAATATGGACTCTACCAGGTTTTTAAACCTCGAATTAAAAATATTTATTTAAATTACTTCTACTTTTAGGTACATTCTAAAGCATAAGTCCTGTATTTTCAGAAATAAATAATTATTTTTAATAATGAAAAACTTGTTTATTAGTTGTTTGCTATTTCTTCTTGCGGAGTTGAAAAGCCGGCGATTGGTCATGGGGATTGAGATAACTGTGGTTAAGTGGCAAATTTGTCAGCCTTTTGTGCTTGAGATATCAGGGTGTGGTCGGCGACATAAATGAATTGACATAACCAAGGAGAAAATGCTAAGACAAAGAGAAAATTAGGCAGTTCCACTTCAAAAACGTCGACATAACAGGGTTGGCGAGTTAACGGAGGTCGAGATAGGCGGGTTTGACAGTATTAAGTTTGGTAACCACTATGAATGTCATAAGTCTAAGCTAATATAATAAGGCTGAATATAAACATTAGGCTAATTAAACTATAACATTAATTTAGAAGCTTAATATGTGGTCCAGTTCTAGGTGGTGATTAGTTAGGCAATCAGCAAGCAGCCAACGATACTCAAAAGATAAAATGAGAAGACTTAGACGACTTCTCTGTTCCTTGCATCCTAATTCAACTGGCTTACAAATAATATTAGTAATCAGGAATATAGGGCCTGCTTTAATGGTTCATATGGAACTAATAGTTAAGTGCTTAGTCTTCAGCCCTTTCATAGCCATTGTACCTATAGTGCCTATAGTTTTAACATTAGTAGATGGTAGAACAATATAACTTTAAAATTAGTCTGCAAATAGTATCCTAATGGCAAGTAATTTTCTTCTAAATTAGTCTTATCCCCCCCTTAACTAATAGCAGGCTTAGGTATATTTTGCCTGGGCATAAGCTAAGGCCTAGTTAGTTCTTACTAAAATAATTTTTTTTTAAACTTAGCCTATTTCACAATGCTCATATAACAAGACTAATAAAAAAATAAGGAAGGCCTAGCAACCTAAGGCTAAGTAAAGTTACTAAACTAATATCAATGGTAAGTTAGCAATTCATCTAAATCGAGTTAAATATTAAATCACCAATATTCCTATGCCTATTATACTCTAATGTATAGTCTAAGCCTAGCGAGTGAGGCTAATTATTTTTATAATAACTATTTATAGGCCTATTGGCTATCAAATAAATGATGTGTATGATGACTCTCCTGTTTATTGCAGAGCATTATTTGCATCATAATCTAAATCTGAACAGCAATACAGCTTATATGAAATATTAAAATAAAATTCGCCTCTTGTTTTTTTTAAATTATTAAACTTCAACTATTAACGTTCAAATGAAATTAAAAAAGAAACCCATCCTTGCTTGTATCCCAATATGACCACCAGTGATGATTGAAACAGAAGGTAAATAGGTTAAATTATTTCGGAGTTGACTATCATATTAATCAATAAAGAGCTGCGAGTATGGTTTAGGACTGTCTGTAGGACTAGTGTTTGAATGCTGATGGGTAGGGTGTAGGACTGTCTGTATGCCTATTGTTTAAAGGGTAGCAGGTAGTGTGTAGGACTGTCTGTAGGCGTAGGACTATTTTTTAAAGGCCGGCATGTATTATAGAAAATGAGAAGTTAACTATTTTTATTTTGTAACACAATACATATGGCTGTGACATGGACGCACCAAGTTTTTCCCAAATGCCCATATTCGATGTAAAAAAAAATGCCTCAGGTTAAGCATTAGTTATTAATAAATTTATTTTATGCTTAGGCGGCACATCTCAGCCTACCCATTATCCGTATAGTATCCATCATCTGTCTATAATTAAATAGCAAGGTAAACACTAATCAATACTATTGTGTACCATATTGCCATATTTCAAATTTAATGAATGCCCATTACTAATCAACCCCTTTTATCACTATTAGTATTAATTATTATAATTTATAAGCCGTGTAAATCTAAGCCTTAGCGCTAGGCCTAAATGTTTTATCATAGCCTGTCATTCATAATAATAATAATTTTAAAATAGCTGACTACCAAGAACTACGTCGTCTACTTTAAGTTACAAATGTCTAATCACTAGACTACTAGACGTACACTCCTTGTCCTTAACTCTCAACTTCAAGTCTTGAGTTTGAGACTCAGAATCTCAGATGATTAAGCATTAAGACTAACAAAGACTAACTTAATATAAGACTAGTAACAGTATCACTAAGTAAGTAAGTCACTAAGTCAGTCTAAGACTAAGACTAAGACAAATATTTAGATCTTAACTAATTAGTATTATTATGGTCTAGTCATTGGAAATAAAAACTCACCGTTTTAGGACGCTTTAATATTGCATTCTTATCACATCCACCACATTTACGTGGCATTATGTATCTCAGGTGTAACTCAAATATATGTAAAGTAAAATCAAAATGCTATGCAACTATGTGTATACTTGTGGGGGCTGCCATTTTATCTTGACCTAAACAACTTGAAAGCTTGAAACTGATTGGACAATGCTAAAAATTAAACCAATAAAAATAGCTGCCGCAAGTGCAAACCTTCGTCGTTTCGATGTATTGCTTTCGTTCATTGTAGTCCAAACTTTTGTCGTCGAGTGAAATGGTGAACGCTAACCGTCGCAAAAAAGTAGTAATGAAAATTTTAAAACATGATACTAAAAAAGAATATAAAAAATTAAACATTGTAAAGAAGACTTTTATCAAAGAAGCGTTACAATGCAGTAGAAAATATTTTTTAAATGTCTTAGAAGGCATTACCCAAAGAAAGAGTCAAATAGAAATTCAATTTTTTTTTTAAACAGTGACCCTTACCGGATACCGCCTTACTTACCAGTTACCACAATAATCATGTCGGAAAGTTTTTTTTTAAAAAAAAAGGTTAATTTTTGGAAAAGAAAACATTTTAAAAATTAATTTTCAAATATAATGTAATAGGTTCCATATTTAATTTTCTTCTTCTTCTTCTATATCTTAAGGGCCCACGCCCACGATCAATTTATTTTGCTTCAAACTTTAGGTCACCAATTAAAAAAGTAAAACTCTTTAAATATTAAACGCCTACTTCCTCTATTATTTCCGCCGGTAACCCCGCCCCCCCCCCACGCTCATTAAATCCCTTTGCAACCTCATTTGAGGTCACCTCCCATGTGCTGGGAACCTGTGCTCTAGTAATTTGATTACTTCAAAATGTTCCAAGTGTAAAAATACCTTTATTACGATGTCGTGTGTTTTTCTTCTAAAATCAACATAGTAAGACATAGGGCCCTATACATTTCATATGTAGATACGTGCATAAAAATTACTAATTGTGTTGTTGTTTTTTTTTAATTCGAAAAGAACCCTTGTTACAAGTTGTAATATTTGCATAAAAATATTTAGTGAAGGATTCTATAATTAGAGACTTTTCACACTATCAAATCTTCGTCACATTTTTTTTAACGCACTATGCTATATATTTTAAAAAAATAATGCGTTCAAAAAGAAATTTGACGCAAAATTTTAACGTGTGAACTAAAAAGAAGATTCGATCTGATTTCCGTCGATCAATTTTCTGTCGACGACACTTCTTTCAAACAAATTTCCGGATAAGCATCTGATTTTTGCTAAACAAGTAGGTCTATTTTATTACGTGGTTATCGATTACTAGGTCTAGACCAGGGGTCGGGAACCTTTTTGTCTGACAGAGCCATGGACACCACAGGTTTGAAAAGTAATTCTGTGAGAGCCATACATTATGTTTAAAACTATAAATTCAAGTAAATGTGTGCATTTTGTGTAATTTCAACACTAAAAATGCAATAATTATGTCTCTGAATTCTTTTTAATAATATTGTTATGCTTTTGCTAATCAATAATGAGTATTTCTTACCATTAATGCGACATTTTTTATAATCGAACATTAGTCTGCGAGCTAGATGCAGCCATCAATAGAGCCACATCTGGCTCGCGAGCCATAGGTTCCCGACCCCTGGTCTAAACAGTAGAAATTTTCTGTAGTATATGCCAAAACGTGCCAAAGTGTCCTCGTTTTACAGCCATTTTAATTGTTTCTATAGTATAGTAGTTACTATCCTAATGTCTCATTTTTATTTTAGTTAGTTTACATGTTTTTAATAATTTGTAAAGCGCTTAGAGCTTTAAGGTAAGCGCTATATAAAAATGTCTAAATAAATAAATAAATACAATGAAGCAACGAGTTAGAGTAGCAAGTGTCCAACCTCTCAACTAACCTAGACGGTGGTTTTTTTAAAATTAAATGTAATTTATTAATAGGCAATAACAATTAAACAACTATAAAATCAAATATTTCATAGACTAATTCAGCTTATAATATATGTTTAATCAAATCACTTTTATCGCGGGATTTCCCGGGTGATCCCGGGATGAGAAAAACGATATTCCCGTTTTCCGGGATAAGCAAAACCCCCCGGGAAATGAGGTATCCTCGTGGGTCTGGCAGGTAACTTTCTCTACACTAACAATGTTTATATATGATGCGTTGAATAAAATAATTGGTTTTCATGAACAGTTTCTCCTAAGTTGCGTTGTGTAACAATAGTTGTTAGGGGTGAGGGCTCAATAATCAAGATGGTCTCTCTTAATTTTTGTCTTATAGATCTAGTGCAGTGGTCAGCAAAGTGATGCTCGTGAGCCGCATGCGGCTCTTTAACGACCTGAGTGCGGCTCGGCCAGTCGGCCACAAATCGGGTTTGACTCCAAAAAAAACAAAACAAGAATCGTGACAGGTTCTTGAAAAGAAATTTGGCCTAAAAAATTTTAATCGTCCTGCTGCTGATTTTTGGCTCTTTCGACTAATGAGTTTGCCGACCACTGATCTAGTTGGACATTTATGTCGTGCCTTTTTCCTAGCGGTATGAAAATACATTTTCGACGCAGATCTAAAAGGAAGATTTCATCCACATTCTAATTCGTAGCTGGCATCTCCAGCTCGGTTTGGGACTACTAATTTAGTTTCACCTGGTTTCAGCGCTGTCTGCCTAAAGCGCATATTTTAGCACGAAAAATGACGATTTTAGAGAAATTTTGATAATGCTCTAGTAAAAGATACCTTTCCTGAACCCCTCCTCTCAAAGGCTTTGCATGCAGACCAATCCATTCTAAATGACATATTATTTCTTTATAACTTGTATGTGCCGCCAGAGCACAGTCAGATTTAGAAACCATACAAAACTTTTTAAAGAAATACATTCAAACTCGTCACTATTGACTTAACCCTTTTTTTTTTTTTTACATTTTAGTCATTAGACTACGTTATTTATGCCACTGTTCCCCCTTGAACTGGCGGTAGGATAAATTGTATAAACCAGTGGTTCCCAGCCTTTTTCCATTCAATTAACCCTTTTTAGAATAAATTTCTATGGGGGTGCCACTTATGCCTACCCTGTGTCCTACGAGTTTCGTTCAATTTTTATTTGTTTTCTTTACAGGCGCGCATGCTCAACAAACAGTCTACAGTCACCATTATCCACTTTTACACAGCAAACCCCCCCCCCTCCCCCAACCCCAAAACAAATTTTTTTCATTTTTCGAACAAAAACCCCTCATATTGTTATGTAAAGGTCAATAACGCAACACACGGCCTGCAAATAAAGATTAGGGTTTACAGTCAAGTAGAATACACTGTTATATATCCACTAGTACAGCATAGGTAGACATACGAGACGTTTATATTGTTGTGTTTATAAATTAATTTGTCTATTTTGAAGATGGTAAGTTCCCCCCCCCCTCTCCCTTTTCATCCAGAATTTTGTTTGAAAGAAATGTCGTCGACGGAAAATTGATAGACGGAAGTTTGGTCGAACGGAAATTCGATCGAATTTTATTTTTAGTTGACACGATCAAATTTTGCGTCAAATTTTTTTTTTAACGTATTATTTTGTTTTACTATATAGTATAGTGCGTTGGAAAAAAAAAAAGGACGAAAATTTGGTAGTGTGAACTGAAAATAACATTCGATCAAATTTCTATTCGACCAAACTTCTAGCGATCAATTTTCCGTTGACGAAATTTCTTTCAAACAAATTTCCGGTAACCCTTTTTTCCACTTGCTGCAAGTTGATACACTTTTCGCTTCTATACTCTTCTATAGAAATTTATTTATATAACTAAATTAAATGTTAGTATCATTAGCTTTTGTATCGTTTTCTTTTTTGGACCACTGCCACTGTCAGATCAATCATTTCTTACGTATTGTTTCTTCTACCAGCCAACCATTAACACATATTTACTATTTATAACCAAAAAGGTTCGTAGCACCATCAAGTGCACCTTTGTGACCGTACACATAACGTATGAGGGCAGTGGGGTGAGGGGTGGTCAGAGAACAATGTTATATAACCTAACAATCCTTTTTGTTTCAACAAAAAATACGGCCTCAAATGCATGAGTGCAAGTGGTCCATTTTTCAATGAAAAAAAAAAAATCGTTTAATTAGGTAAGTCCTCTTATTGTATTGGTATTTAATAGAAATTATTTTGAAGGGTAAGTCTTCTTATTGTATTGGTATGTAATAAAATTTATTTTTAGAAAAAATTGGACGCCCCCTTTTAACCAAATAAGTGTAGTAGGCCTATCCAAGGTTTCATCGTGGTGGCGGGCGGTTGCTAGAAATATTATATAATATAAAGGTGGGGGTGGTCAATTTAAATGTTATTTTACAATACAATGGTAGGGGTGGGTCACAAAGTATTATTACTGTGTTTTATAATATATACCGGGCCATTTTTGTCAATTAAATTTCCTAAACATATTATTACGGAAAAATAATTTATTGAAATATAGCGTGTCCTTTTTTTTTAGCCCCCCCCCCCACCTGCCCTATCACGTAATTTATATGTGTAGTTTAGTCCTACGTTTAGCAATATGTATTCGTTAATCTCACATTGCTTATTATGATAGTCCCATTATTTATAATCGGTCGAACGAATTTTACGTGCGTGGTCCTACATTTTAGGAAAACTCGGTGAAAATACGTCAGTATGAAAAGAAAAGAAAATTTGTGAGCTTTTATATCAATTTTTATTTTATGAGAGTTTTCATTTTTAAATGGAAAAAATCTTTTAAAATAAAAACTCTTTATTGAAATATATTACAAAATTCCAACGATACGGAAAATTTTTACTACTCTCAATTCCTTGACATAATTCTTTTGGTTCATTGACATAATTCTTTAAGTTCATTGACATAATTCTTTCAGTTCATTGACATACTTCTTTAAGTCATTGACATACTTCTTTCAGTTCATTAACATACTTCTTTCTGTTCATTTACATGCTTCTTTCAGTTCATTGACATAATTATTTCAGCTCATTGACATACTTCTTTCTGTTAAATGAAAAACTTCTTTCAGTTCATTGACATACTTCTTTCAATTCATTGAAAGTTCTTTCAGTTCATTGACAAATTTCATTCAGTTCATTGACATAATTCTTTCAGTTCATTGACTTAATTCTT